GATGGGGCCGCGAGTTGGCGAAGACTGCAAATCATGCAACGGTTTCAAGTCAGCTTAAGAACGCACCGCATATTCATCAAAGTGACCAGACTACAGTTTTCTCACCTGCGAGTAAGAGTCGGCTGAGCAGGCATTCGTCATCGGCAGAACGTCGAGGTCTGAAAACGTCTGAAATACGTCTGAAACACCCTGGCGCCAGGGCTGCCAGATACCCATCAGATGCATCCCAGACATCAGACTTGACTCAATGGTAGCAGTAATCATCATGTATTTAAATGTTAATCATATAAATACAGGAAGATGTTCTGTGTAATAAATATGCATACATCTGCAGGCACGCAGCACACCAGACCTTCAGAAGGGAAATGTCCCGGTGTGTTTGCCGCCAAACTGCATGTAGCCGCCCCCACCGAATCCTCCATCGCCAAAGCCTCCGCCACCGTGGAACTAGACATCTGAGGATGGCAGCGTTGAAGTGGCATAGGATTCAGTGCCTAAGTTGGGCTGGGCTCTGTCCTCCATGTAGAAAGGGGGTGCCGACAGCTCGCGTGTCCGCGAAAGATGACGAGAATCTCAGGCGTCTCAGACTTCGACGTTTTGCTGACTCCTATACCCCACACTGCTCTGCACCCCTTCAGCACCGGCAGGGCAGCGAGCACTGCCGGCTCGAATCCAAGCACAAGGACCACCTGCGTCCACTACCGCAGCCGCCGCGCGACAAGCACAGGGACAGGGATCACAGACCGTGATAGTGTGCGACTTGCAGACATGAACGGTGCGTCTCGTCGAGCCACTCTTCGTACATGCACGAGGTCTAATGGGATGGCGCGCAATGGCGTGTGTGCGCCAGCGGACGACCGTGGAAGCTTCCGCAGCGCGTTCGAGGAGAGCGTGCGCACACGGCGCACGGTGTTCGCGCATGTGCGGCTGCAACGCAAACATGACTTGTCCATGGTGAGCGACTACTCGTCCCACCCGCACGTCCTCCCCGACACGGCCGCCTTTCAGTGCTTCTTCGCGGTCGCAAAGCCATACCCGAGCCGCAACACTGCCATGTGAGTCTCCCGTTGCATGCACACATACATTGTTGGCCGCACCGGCTGATGTGCGCTCCTCTCGCACGCAGGCTCAACATGGTCCTTGAGCTCAAAATGGAGAACGAGCGACTCCAGCAGTGCCTCATCCAGCTCCGCGCGCAGGCTGGCGCGCCTCCTGGCACCCTCGATACAGCAGCCCTCGATGGCATCTTCGTGTGCTCATTACTGGTAGCTTTGTGATGGTTAGGTACGGATATACATGTCGGACACAGGTACACAAGTTGTCTCTAATTTAGAAGCAATAATATAGAATGATATTCAAATCTCAAGAATATGTCTGTTGGTTTGATTATTAACAATGAAATATGATCATTTACAGGGAATGGTGTGGTATTCCAAATATTGTTGCTGTTCCGAATAATACTGGGTAATTTTACAACAATAACTACTAGTAACTCCAGGAGGTTTTTCCTGATGTCAGAAGCAAGCTGGCCAGCACTGTTCACAGGATGGCCAATGGTAGATATCCGATTTTTGTTTGGTGATTTTGTCTTGTTCTCTTTCGTCTTCCGAATCCATCGCGGAGACTGCTAGCGGTTTCAAAGTAAATAGTGAGCTCAACCAGCCCGGACGGTCAAAATCCGGAATAAAGTTGTCACGGTCCCGCGTACTCCTCAGCCACTAGTGGTCACCATCGGATTTATAGCAACGCCTCAATCATGGCAGAAATATTGGTGTTCAATTTCACCCAGCAAGTAATCATTATCCAACTACAGATAAGCGCAGCTTGATGGACTACAACCCCTCACTGAGTGTCATGTGTCATGACTATGATCATAGGATGCTAGAATACTAGTGATCGCACGTTGCATCCAGCCTAACCAAATCGAGTGTTCACTTCAGTAAGTCAAAGCCCAGAAATTATGAACCCCGCCCATACTCCCTATCACCTATCATCTCGACCACAGCTATCATAGTGGCTTCATAAACCAAGAAGCTCCCCATATAGCTACCTGAACATTGCCTTGATACCAGTGGTATATGTATATTAGGAGTTTGATTTCCTTAATTTCTTAGAGAATGCCTCCCGACACTGGTAATGTGTGACCTCACCCCTAAGATAAATCTCGTAAACACGATTGATGGAGCGTCCTCGAGGTAACGCAGCATACCTAGGGGAATGGACGGCAATAACGCTGTGGCCGATGCGCTTATGACACTGCGGGCATCTGAAGACAGCGAGCGAATGAGTAAATATTTGGACGAATCCCTAAACAAGACTTACATGCGACTATCCGTGATCTTAACTCTATTCGCTTGCAAGTACATTAATCGCAAAGCTACTTCATTCTGGCGTGCTTTGCTGATATCGCGGACCATCCGTGTATCAAACACCGGCGCACGGAGAGCTTCACGAAGGAATGCTTGTACATCTTTCGCAGCCACCAAAGGTGGCAACAGTTTCAGCGTTTCTGTAGGTTCAAGACGAGGACTATGTCTGCTGATAAGATCTAGCGCGGGCTGTAGAAGGTCCACGGCGGGCGATGTTGTAGGTCGAAGATATATGCGTAAGAGCATCAGGAACACGGTGCTAGTTCCCGTGTTTGGCTGATATACTCGCTTGCAATACCTGACGAGGATATGACTTGAATTAACATAATAGCGTAAAATAGACAACTCACTCTTCAGCTTTCAAAAAATCGCGCAGACGATATACGTATACTTCGAGGGCGCTGTCATGCCGTCCCAGTCGACCCAATAACATTGCTTTCGCTTCGAATAGGTCTATGGGGACTTTGTATCCAATAATCGAAAGTGAAGAATGGTTAAATCGCCCACCTTCCGAAGGCAAAGATGCATATAATCGACCGACGTTATATGTTCGTGTTGTGCCGATAAAATTGAGTAGCTTTGAGTAAGTGTCTGACCGTGCATCTGCATCTAACTGTCAGCAATTAAGGGTGTAAGAAGTAATGATTCTGGTCACCTTCATTCCCTTGTTTCTTCGCAGACATGGTCATGCGCAGATATAGGTCCGCCAGCCAGTCATGGAAAAGTTGGGATTGTTCACCACGTTCCTCGATAAGGTATTCGATATAGCGCGCACAAATACTTGGCTTGATTCTCTCCAAGTATTCAGCCACAGGCTGGCGAGGCAGATCCACTTCTTCCGCAGTGAAAATCTGTCGGAAGTTTAGATGGTCGATAACTCGGTTGTAACATCGATACTTACTTCCAAGGCTACGTCAGCGTCTGAATCAAATATCCATCGTGCGTTGTCAAAAATCTGAGTCAAAAACTCTGGGCCTAATCGCTGAAGGTAGTTTACTGAAGGCATGACTTGGTCCCGCCGATCAGTTTCCTTCTCGCTCAACCTAATGAGCCGTGCAGATATGTCCAGGAGCATCGTCAAGTGAACTCACTCGCGTAGCAAGTTCAAGGCCTGCGTGTGCATTTTCTTCCCATTATACAGATATATGAGTTCGGAGTATTTCTGCGATGAAATATGTGAATAACCCAATGGTATACGAACGTACAATAATATACCTCACGGGCACGCAGAACCTCCTCAACTTCTGAAACTTCGCACCAATTTCCTAGTCGACAGAGTGGACCCAGCAATCCTGGGCGAACAAGTAGATATGACTTGAACAGCGCTGTATCCACTATTTGTGCAAATCGCACTAATTCTTCTGGAGTTAAGGCTGAGAGAGGTACGCTGGCCATTCCAAATAATTCGTCTAATGAGACTGACGATAAGCTAGGCATCTCGTGTGCTTGGGATGAGGTGATGTTCAAGGCTTCCAATGCTCCAGCCACTTTGGGACGGCGGTCCGACAAATATCGCATCAATGCCTCAATCGAACGGTGAAAATCATCTGCAATGTCCCAACACGATATGTCACGCATGATAGTCGTACAACAACGAAGACACATTTACCCTTGGGTCGCTCTTTACGTTTTCCAGCCACAGATGCTGTCTCATCGTCCTTCTTGGCGGTAGGCTTAATGACGTTTTCTAATCCAGTCTTGATGGAGCCACGAATAGAACCCTTGGGAGACGGCGGGCGAGGAAAGACATCCTTTGAGAAGCTGATTTTCCCATCATTGCTACCTTGATTAGAGTCAGTTTCGAGTTGCTGGCTTGGGCCTCCAAACAAAGTGATCCACTGGTCTCTCGAAACAGACAGCCTACCAGCCACACGATCAGGGTAGAGAGCAATAATCTTAGCCGGGTTGGTTTCTAAAGCAATAAAGGCGCTGATCGCCTCTTCAAATTCACCCAGTTGGAATTGGGAAACAGCGTGTAAGGTGCGAACAAGACGCTGTCGTTGCTCCTATAATTTTACGTGAATAGCTTCACTCCATACACAATAAAAATATTACCTTGTCAGGCAACAGTGCCACATCGATTGTTTCCAGCAACGCCAATGCTTCTACATAAGACCCCACGGCAACAAGTTCGTCGACCTGTAGACTCCATGCCTTCATGGTGAACTGCCATATGGTGCTCCCAGCTGAAGCGGCCGTCGCACGGTCCATGGGTGTCGTCACAAGAAACAACGGTGACTTGTTCAGTGAGGATGTGGTCAGTAATCGCACAGCATATTGAGTGATTACGGGAGTAGCGACATCGGAGATAGGAGGGAAAGGTAAAGTTTGGACGACCGAAAGTGAAATGGACGATCTTATTTCGACAACCGGGGTCGGGATGAAGTTTGCCTGCGAAGCCGTTGAGCTTGATAGGCTTTCTGACGGTGATGCCGGTACGGTGCCAGAGGGCAAAACGGAAAAGACATAAGGTCTAATAAAAGCTGCGATAGGTCAGATAAATTAAGACACCCATCACAACTATCCAATGCCTTACCTAGTTCGTCTGGAGGTGCGGGCCAGTCGATTTGCTCTTTTCTGTTGGATTTTGCCTCAGTACCAACGATAACACCATTGTCTGGGTACGTGAGACTAGCTAGCTTCGCGCGAATAACATGAGATTCTCACTGTCTTTGGCAACGAGAACCTCTCCCTCTTGAACTCGAATCACGCAGGGTCTTGTCTTGGTTCCAAGACCAAGCGTCATATATCCACCCAGGCCACTGAGGGCACCCATACCCATATTACTGATACCCGACACTGAAGGGGCAGATGCTACAGGCATTGTAAGTTCCGTCATGGTTGAGGTTCTGAGCGAGAACAGCGCGTAGTCAGATACCGAATACCCAAAGCAGAGAACATCTGTTCCAAGAAATGCTATTGCTCGAGGTGAATGAGGTAGCGGCGTTTCCTACACAATGGTTACTCTCGCGATCCAGATATAGATGTGATGACACTTACTTGCGCATCCTGAGGCTCTCCGTCTCTCCAAGAGTATATGACTATCTTTCTTTTGCACCCAACAGCTAAGTAAGTGACAACAGTGGGCACTTCCTTTGCCTGGTCAAACTCTCCTTTGGTGGGCGATACAGCGCTCGAGCGGGCAACGACACCCGTGAATATACCGAAAGAAAGAGCGCCTTTGGTCTTCGACAATGGTATTGGCGGGGATAGCGTCGGTATTGGTAATAGCGAGACTAGGGAGTCTGCGAAAGAGCAAGTTTAGTATGGCTCCCCGAGGCTATATCGACACTTGCCTGACAAAGCCACCAATGAATCAATTTCCTTGATAAAACCAAGTTGTTCTATGGCTCTCCGACTGATATTCTTCTTGACGTCTATAAGTCTTGTCTCTTCGGAATCATCTTAAAGCACGACATTAGTGCACTGAGTGCAGCGTGCGTGAGCCACGTACCGGAAGTTCCTTCAGTAGAGTATATATACAAGCTGCCACTGGCAGTGCCGACGTATAATTTATCGCCTTTAACATATGATCATTACAAGGTAAGCATGCGAACATCCACAGCATAAATCGGTGATGTGCCTTCGACAGCCAGCGACTCCGCTCTCTCCTTGAAGCCGGTAAGGAACGCATTTGGCGGATAAAAGGGCGGCATGCTAGCCAGCAGCACGAGCGTATGTTGAGTTCAAGCACCAGCGTCCCAAGCGAGGTCGCAGTCGAATTCCAAGGCATGCCATAGCAGGTGCCTCAAACGCGTGCAACTAGTTCCATGACGTCGCCTGCGCGCGCTTGCAAAATACATCAACTACAGATATACTACTAATTTACAGAATATACACGATGCTACATTACAGGTATATTATATCCGAACTGAGTCCCGGTTGATATATAACAGATCCAGCAGAAATCAAGAAACCAGAGTTCAATGTCATGATGGTCGTAAGGATTGGGCTCGCGCTCCGACACCTCGTAGTGTCTGTTTAACGATACGAAGCCAAGCGACCGCTTTATCTACCTCTTCATCAGCACCATCAAGCCTGGCGTCCACTTTGCGCGTCAACAGTCGGTGTAAGACTCGAGTGTCGTCGTCATCGCCTTCAGTGAGGGTAGACGAGAAAGATATCATGGATGAACTAGCCGATTTGGTTCTCCGTCGTACCTCGGCCTTCACAGACATGCTGGCTGGACGGACATCGATCCAGTCTTCTCCGTCAATTGCGCTACTACGCCGATCAATGCAAGGCTGGGACAATGAATGACGCAAATGTCCTCCCGACGAGGCCGAAAGGACGTGTTCCAATAAAGATTGGCGGCACTGTGGGGTCGATCAGTGGATGCTCTCAGCGGAGAGAGAGAGATAGAACATACCGTTATGGCCTTCTTTAGTCGAAATTCAGCTTGTGCAATTGATCGGTTAGCCAAAGCAATAAACTGTTCCGCCTATGATAATGATGAGCTTGCGTACACGATTATGATCAGGTTTAGATGCTTACCGAATCGAGACATTCTTCAATGCGTGGCAAGTCTCGACGAACTGCGGCTAAACCCCTGCGACAACTATTCAGCGTCACCTGAGTTGAGTCGTCGACAGAGTCCCGATGGAATTGTAGCTTTTCTTGATATGGCTGAAGCATATCAACTTTCTTGTAGGGGGCATCAACACGCTTGCCAGCAATATCATCTTCGGCTTCCAGTTTACGAACGTCTTGCTTAAATTTCTTCATGATCCATGCCTTGAGCTTCGATGGGCTGCTCCATGTGTGTTCCTTACTACCCGACGAGGCTTCAGTGTTGCTTTGCTTCCTGAGGGTTTCGGCCAAGAATGGAGCGTCTCCAGGTTCGTTGTCAATCGTACTTCCTCCAGACAACCCAGACGCCCCGGTGGGGACGGGGAAAGTGACACCTCCATCTATAGCTACCACTGTAGAGGCTACCGGAAGCTGACTTGCGGACGTATCATCCGAGCCCGTTATAGGAAGATCCTGGTTCGAAGCTCTAAGGTCAGACATTGAACGGCATTTCCGGTTGACCAAAATATAGTCCGCCTCGGACATGGCTGTTGCCTCAGAACCGCCTGAGTCATTCGTCCGTCTCCTCGAATGAAAGAAATCTTGATCCCCAGACAGCGACCCATCCGCTACGCGATCAACAGTTCGCCTTACCCTGCGCTGGAATGCGTAGACTTGCTGAAATAGTGCGCGTGCCTCACGCAGGTCATCAGCGGCATGACGAACATGACACCGCAGATGACTAAAGAGTCGATCATGTATGTACGATGTGTCTTGCAGCAACTCTCGGCAGGCACCAGCATCGACGGAAGTTTCTGCAGCGAGCAATCTCGTAATCCGACGTAAATTATCCATAATATCATGGGACAACGTCGGAACATGCACGTCCGCATTTCCGAGGTCTAGATCCGATTTCTCCGCGGTGATTTGTCGAATATTGGAGATCGATGGACGCAACACCAATGGAGGCATGGATTGGATCGATGTACTCGTGGATGGTCTTATGGTACGCACCGAAGCGGAAGATATTGAACGCGGAGGTCCGATATCGACACCAAAGGCTACACGGAACTCAGGCTTTGCGACATCCAATGCTGTAAGGCTATGGAACAATTAGCATGGCTTGGGATATATACAGTATTCGACGTACCCATTCGCGTTTCGCATGTCACGAATAGCCCCACTAGGATCACAAGCAAGAAGTGCGGCAACAACATCGAAGTTTCTTCCGTATTCAGCGGCAATATGCAGACACGTATTCATACCATGATCCCTGGCAGAAAGAGGTGCACGAAGATCACGAACCAGATGAAGAATGAATGCACGGATAGCTGATGCATGCTCCTTAGTTCGCGAAGGTCTCGCCTTGTACGCCAGACAGTGAAGTGGCGTCTCGTGGCCAGAAGTGGTATAAAGGCAAACGTCAGCCCCCGCTTGGTAGAGACTATCTAGGACTTGCAACGAATGGTGATCAGCGGAAGCACAATAGTGAATGGGACTCCACCCTGTGGAATCGGGAAGGTTGACCAATAATGTTAGCTTCTCGGAAGTAGTCCCAAGAGGATAGCAGTGGTCTGGGCGAAATAGAAGAGAACGCAGACGGAGGAGATCGGCGGACTGGATTGCTTGAATGAGAGAGTTCGTGGAGTTGGAGAGGTGACGAAGAGCGGATAGAGACGAAGATAAATGCTTTGGTTCGTTCAAGTTAGACGACGTGCATAGATGATTCAGCCACTCTAAGAATGGACGTGGCAAAGGTACCAGATCTCTGCTATTCTCACCCTACAATTGATCAGCGGGTAAAATAAACAAAAGGACGTCGAATATTTACCAAAAAATCCCGCATCCTGATGCGACGAAGAGCGTGTTCACAAAGCCAAAGGATCCGGGGGTGTCTGAGAGCATGCTGGATTGAGGAGCGATGGTTGACATCTCTAAAATCGGGTCTGGCATCTTTGGCGAGCTGAGCAAAGCGCCAAGTGAATAACAAACATGTGAATCAATCAAACAGAAACTGACCAGTAAACGAACAATTTCCAGCCTGCCATCTCTCGCAGCATCTAAGACGCAGACTTAGTACGACAACCACAAGTACGAACGAAAATCACCAACACATAAGTGGCGTCGCCCCATAGATGTCCATCCCGTTGACGGCCACCATATCCTGTCCAGCTTCAAGAAGCAATTGCACCACTGGCGACAGATCTAGCCACGCAGCGAGACACAGCGGAGACACACCTCGCGCGGGTGCATTCAACGTATACAACGAGATTTCATTGTTATCCAAGAGCATTCTCAGCATCGCCAGACGATCTGGCAATCGGAACGACGCGTCAGACGCGTCCACATCTTCCCAGCTAGCGGTCAAAGGGTGAGCGAGCGACCGAATTGGCCAGTAGCTAGAAGCATCTCACCTGCCTCCTGCGATGGTACGTGTGACCGCCGTCTCACCAGAGGTATTGGACTCATTGACATCGGCCCCAGCGGCCAGAGCCTGCCTGACTGCGTGAACATTCGCTCGTGCAGCAGCATCCAGTAAAGACAGCGAACTGAGTGCGACACATCGCACAGAGTCGAGATTGAGACCTGCAGGACCCATGCTGTGACGGTCTTCTAGCCAGCAAGCACGTCCAGAGTTGAAGACCCGCTCCGAAGGATTCAAGTGGGGAAGAGGCGGTCGTCCGGCTGCTCATATAAGCAATTGGTGCCTCGACGGGGGCTTCGGAAAGGAAACATTGCGAAGCACACGAGGCACGGGACGAATCAAAAGATAATGCTGTCCGTCATTGAATCTGGATGTACATGCCTAACGAGGTCTGCCTCGAGGCGGCGTTAACGCGAAGTCATTCAACACTTCGTGAGCAGAACATAAGTTCGCCGACACAGCATGAGAACCATTGTCCGGAGGCAGTCCAGCAGGGAACAAAAATTCAGAGCGCGATGGCGGCGGAAATGGAAGACATTGTGGTAAGAGACCGGCGGCGTTACTTGTTTGTACGCGCAACTGGGAAACGAGCCTCAGGGTCGCTTGTTTGGCCGCCACTGCAGGCGTTCGGACCATTATGCGCAAAGCGAGTTATACGATACTTCAATCATCAATTCGATGACCACCTTCAAAATAGATCCCCAGGCTTGCTTCTGCTACACATGATGCAGGCCTCATTTCCGAGGTAATTCTACCACTAAGTCGATATAGATATGAGGGAACTAGGCCTCGGGCAAGACGATTGCGTACGAGATAATATGACGAGGAATTTCTGTGCGATGGGCGTTACAGTGATGTGATTGTATGCGAGAATAGATGAAAAAATTGGAACATAACAATTAGAATATGCTGGTGACACTGAACTGGTGTTTACTGATCATGAATGCGGACGAATATTCTCTTAGAAAGTCCCTAGCTACGTAGAAAGCACGGTGGCTCGCGCGGGGCTTCGACAACAGACCTATATGAACGCATCTTGGGAGAGAGTGCTCTGTTAGGATATTAAATGAGACGCTAGTCAGGAGACTTGATGGAATCCCAAGAGGTGGCCACCCACCTTCACTTGCTCGAAATTTGCAACTGCGCGTTCGACATCCCATGCGTTACCCTGCAAACAATCCAATGCGAACTTGACATTAAGACCCGTCCGCTGGCAGATCTGCACGACCAGCGATCGCTGTGGCTCCGGCTTCAGTGTCGGCACATATGACATCGGTTACTATTTAGTGTGCTACTGAAACGAGCGATGACATGAGACTCACGATTGCCGCCAACGCTTCTACCTGATTCTGCGGAGTTATCGGTGGGCCCGCCGATACAGAGGGCAATGGTTCGCCCGCTTGCACGCGCATCGGACCGGGTTGCCAGGCCTCATGGCTGGAATACGCTCGGACGACCAACTGATCGGAAAGAATGGTGACGTTCCAGCCATTTTGCTTTGCGCTAGAATCCAGATCTTTAAGAATCAAATGCTTCAGGATCAAACCGAGTCAGGCTTACCGTGAGTCGTCGGCTGCAGGGGCCAAGATGAATGAACGATCAAAGGAGCGAACACCTTGCGAAGGCTCTGTAAAGGTGGCCATCAATATACTACACAAATCGCATCAAAATCATAATGTTACCCTCAATAAACTGTCCGTGCACCGTGATAAACAGCTGGGCCGAATCCCCTTGTTGGATGGGCCACGCATCGATGCAAAATTTATCTGGAGCCCCGGCTACATCATGTTTGGTGCTGGGCAAGTCAGCCATAGCCCTCACTGCCGCTTCGTGCCCTACATGTAGCGTCTTCGTCATCTTCTCGATGCCTCCACCCATCCTATTCAAATTGCGGGAGCCTCCATGTCCACCAGAGAGCCATGGCGTCCATTCCAGCTTCTTTTGATTCGGCATGTCTTTCGAATAATGGTAGCCTTCTATGCGTGCTCGAGCAGGGATAGCAGTATTTGCTGAAAATGAAAAGGTCGCATCAGGGTGGTATACGTCCATTAACGCCGCACGCTGATTATCAAACAGAGGGAAATATCTGCAAGAAATTATACTCAAAAACTACACTCCATGCTGCAGGACATGATAAGACGTACCTCATGAAGAAATTGCTGACAACACCACTATCCACTCCAGTAATAAACGATGGTCCCATATTGGCGGGAAATGTGGTGGCCGCCGACTGCACAGAGGTCGAAGTCGACGTGGATGCAGCATGTGGTGCGTCGAAGGCAATTTTAGGAATTGCCTCCAAGTCCAGAATTTCGAGTGACGGGAACCGTCTCGCTATCTCACTTCACGATGTGATCAATTATACGTAAAATGTAAGAATTCGAGAGCCAACCTCTTATAGCGATCAATGCGGCCATTCTTATACTCGATGTCACGAACTGGATTGTCAAGTAATATAAGCTCGCGCAATTGCTGTAACCTGCCCCTCTTCCCGGAAATGGAATCCAAGTCCTTCCACGAGATGAACTTGTTACCTTGAAGCGATAAGTTGGCTAGTTTGGGGAGGAAATGGGATAGCCTCGAGAGAATAGCGCTGTTGGCGAGATCATTGCCAGCCAAAGATACTGTTTCAACCTGAGAAGCATCAATCCAATAATATCTGCGTGACAGATACGAAGACACGGACTGGTGGAGATAGAAGCGACGCCATCTTAAAAATAACGGAAAATTCCTTGATTGCGTTATTGAGTGGCCCCTTGATAATTCTGGTCTTCTGCACAAACTCATCTTTGGTTATTCGCTAAATATCTGTTAGTTGCGCAGTCGACCTCTGATAGTAATTCTGCACACCTCAAGATCCAGAAATCTTGCTTCAGAATTCCATCTCCTATTCACGAATTCTTTCATAAGATCCAAGAGCTTTCGTTCAACAGGGGCGGCATCGGCACTGGAGACAGCGTTCCTGCGTAAACGGCCCAGTGGTCCCTTCGCAGCACCGCGTATCGCTAATGAATCACCTGCAGCCAGCCGTGAGGCGAGCTTCAGCGGACACAGAATGTGATGGCGCGAAGGGTGAACCAGAGCGTGACGTAAGTGAGGTGTTTTCACGATAGCAGGTACGGGATGAGACGCAAGAGGACATCACAGGTCAAGGGCTAGCTGTCACTAGGGTGAATGAGCAAAGACAATCTCTTTATTTACCATGGCTGTTCGGGAATTAACAGAAGTACCGGGCTGGTCTTTACCAGTCAGTGCGTCGATCGGGCGGGAACGGTGGGAGGAGCGAGCTTTGTGTGTTTTGTTGTGACCCTTGCGACCGCCTGGCTTGTCTGAGGCATCCCGCATGCGTTCGTCGCGGTCGATGAGGCCCGCACCGCGAAGAGCGTTGGCCGCTAAGCTGCGACTGCCCGAAGCAGGGGTTGGACTTGAGAACATCGACGTGGTGAACGAGCGCTTGTGGAATGTAGGAGAGGCTGAGATGGGAATGTCGTGGTTGAAGGAAGCGTAACAGTGGCCACACGAAAGTGTTGGCGATGGTGGCGGTAAGAGCGAAGGCAGCAATGAACCACTGAACGGTCCGTTTTCGCGGGTCCGGATCCGTAATACTTTTTCGTGTGACTCATGCAAACGTCACATGTTTGTCACACTGTTATCGCCGCCGCCGCCGCCGTGACGACGTCGTCGGCGTTCACCGTCACACTCACAGTCCGATATCCAAAATTGCGAAAAATACATAGGAGGCGTTTTCACAGTGTGTCGCATACCTAACACAGGACGGTATCGAGAGCATAGGCTACAGTGTTTATTGGGGCCGTTTTCAGCCCTCAAGTGATTAATGCTGCTGCTGCGTCGGCGGTTTGCAAATCTACAGAATCAACAACTCGTCGTTCCCACGGCATTTCTTTGTTCTTCTTGACGACGTTTTCGTCCCTCCGCTCATCCAGCGTTACTCAAGTCTGCACCTATTATCCTAGAAAATAAACAGATGGACAATCCGCAGTATTATCAACCCTTGTCGCACGCCCTTCACCCTCCTTTGGTTCCTACTTCGCAGCCCCCTCAACAACCTTACAACTATAGCTCTCACGCGCAAGTCACTGCCGCAAATGGCACTAACACCCGCGAAGAGGAGGAGGAAGAGGAGGATGATGATGAGGAAATCGTAGAGGAGGAACTGGAGCACCGTGAGCCGACACACGCGAGTAGCCACTCCTCTCCTCGCGTACAGAGTACAGTACAGGCGGGGGCTTCAAAGTGAGTAGCTGTCCTTTGTGCACGCTTTCCACTGAACGTGTGTCCGAAGACCGGCCGCGGCAACTGCCATCTCGACGACAAACACGCCAACTTCAACAACTCAGGACCAAACTCAAATATCCGCTACAGACGATGACTCTGGCAAACGAAAGCCCGGTCGCCCAAGAGGGTCCAGGAATCGTAAGCCTCGAGCACCTCCAGGGACCTCAACAAAGGCACCGACTAACCCGCAGCATCCCGGATTCTATCATTATCCGCCTCCCCCAAGCGGTGCATTATCACCGAACCAGCAATTCCATGAGTTCCAATGGCGTGCTTTAAATCTTTGTTCGGAGTTCTACAACGCAGCAGAGGAGCTCATCGTCAGTGAACTGCGGGCCGTGTCATTGTTCGCTACCGCTTCTAACACGCCTGACACAGAAAGCTGCCTCACCAATTGTCATAGCCCAATGTTATCAGATGGGTCCTGCGGCCAAGATTGATCCCTTGGCGATGATTGCGGAGGCGAAGCGAGTCTGTGATAACATTGTACGTCGAGTAACTCTTGTACTTATTGCTGCTGCTCCTTACCTTGGTGTAGCTTGCCAACCCCAGTCAGCTGGTGGGTCACCCAGTTCCAAGTATCTACAATCTGTCTCCGTATCCTCAAATGCCTCCGCCGCCTACTACAATGGCATCGACGTCGTCTAGTGGTGCCGCCACCTCATCTGTGATAACTAATCCGCAGTCATTCGTGATGCCTTTGGGCAATCCTGCAATGCCTCCCCCCTCTCATGCGCCCCAGCCATACTACCCACATATGTACCCTGCAACTGCTGCGAGATATCCCACTGCGCCGTACTATTCCTATCCTTCTCAGCCCTCGACCTACTATCCACCTCCACCTCAGCCTGCGGCGCCACCCGCGCAGACCTCGCCTCCACCCCCACCAACTACTTCGTCCACAGGAACTATATCCACATTCAATGCCGCTACTGGCTCTGCAGCGCCCGGTGGACAGCAGGGAACTTGGTCAGAGGAGGAACAGGATCGTTTGTTGAAGCTTGCAGAACAGAGCAGAGAAATGGGCGGGCCTCAGAATAAGGGTGAGATCGAGTGGGACTGGGTGGTTCAACAATGGGGTAATAGTAGGACCAGGTAGGTGTGCTGTTAGCGTTCCAATATTGATGTTTTTCTGATCGTAGGTGGAATCAGACACCAGATCCTGTTGAAAGCAACGTCTATGGGTCTCAAGGAGAGCACAACACGAGGGACTAAGCGACGGCGAGAAAATGATCCATCACATCCAGAGAGCTCGGAGCACAATGCGGCCTCACAGCCAACTTCTGCGTCCGGCCCTGCTCCTGGACCTCCCACTGCTACACCTACGCAAAGTCAAACCCCTACTTTGGCAGCCGCCAGTACTCCAACCAATGCCTCTGCTCACGCAGCTAATGCGTCACCGTCTCTCCAGTCGCGACGAACACCCTCAACAACGCCAGCGACGATTGCTCCCGCTCGCACGACTTCGACTGGTCCCTGGCCTATGCCCACTGTAGCAGCGGCGAATACATCTCCTATTCTTCCCACCTCCTCTGCCCAAGCAGATCGCAACGCCCACTACAGGGGTCGTCCACAGGCAGCATCGTATGGGGCTACTAATGGGGCTACCTCAAATGCACCGTACGGTACCGCGCCGCCTACTTCTAGTGCGTCCTACGGCGCCCCAACTTCAGCTTCGGCGACATCTCGACCGCCATCGTCGCACGGAAGCAGTGCGACGACACACCAATACATGTTTCGTCCCGCAAATGGACCAGCGAGCACGGGACGCAGAGACGGAGCGTAAGAATACCTGTTTGGATATGCGAGCAGTCAAGGTTTCACAAATATCCTTCCTCGTTTGTGCCTTGCTAGGAATCACGCCGCACGGGATCCCCCCGTGCCGTTTCGCCTCCAGCCGACTGGGTAAGGCTCACTATCGCCAACACAGTTCGTTGGGGTGATGTACAATCCGAAGGCGTCCGGGGTGGATTATTTGTCTTCTTCGTGGTGATGCGATGTAAAAGGATTGGGTTGGCTGGCCTTGTGCCTACATAGGTGGAAGCGGGCTCCAGCCAGTGTTGGTTATTTACTTTATTCACATTTGGCTTTCATTGTCCATATTGGCGCAGATGTATTGTAGTATGCACACGACGTCTCAGAGGAAACGATCCCATGTGGCTGAGAGCCGACAAGCTCGGAATGGGTCGACTCGGGGGGCGGTGGCCTAAAAAGGTTTAGCGTGGGATACAAACCAAACCAAACAACCGCTTTGCCAAGAGCTCGAAGGAGACGACTCGCTCTTGAACAAACGAACCGGTCTGCCATCCAGGACCGCCATGGCTCAGATGTACGCTGTCCGTCCAGATCCGCAAGCTCGACGCTCACCTCGTCTCCTCCAGCGCGCCACCGAACACCGACCCTGTCTCTACAGGCCCCAGCGACCACTCGTCTGCCACAGCCGGTCCCTCTCTCAACCCGTCCCCTGCAGGTGAAGCAATCCAGGTGTGCCCTCGATATCTTTTTCCTTGCTTGTGAAACCAATACTGATTGCTCGACTTGGACGCTGTTCCATGGCGGCACGCCCGTGCACAGAGCCCTAATACTGCATCATATACGTCCGCATCGCCTGTCACCTACAATGCACCACACTTGTACCCGAGCAACGTTGTGCCGTACGGGAGCTCGTCACTCTCCGGCGCAAACATCCTCCCCACTCCCGTCATGCCCGCCTCGTACCCACTTACTTCAAGCCAGCCACCCACATCCATGACCAGTGCTGCTGCTAAGCGCAAGCAGCCCGATGATTCTACAATGTCTGCGAGTAGTGGCGCAGGCCCAAGCCGCAAGCGTCGGCAGCAAAGTGTCGCTGGAGCTCATACCGGTGAAGGCACGGCTGAGAGAGACGATGCGGATGTGGGCCCGAATGGCGGCCCGAAGCACTGGACAGACAGCGAGAAGAGTAATCTGTTCACATGGCTGCTCGCTAGCGATAAGAACTGGGATATGTTCAAAACTAAAATGAATACTGTGTTCCGCGACGTGCGTTTTCCACATTGTCGGATAAGGGCTGCAGTGCTTATTACCCCCGTAGGCGTCCGCTCAGATATTCGGCGGACGTAAGTCGTTTACGGCACTCAAAAGCTGCTATCATCGCAACGTGGAGACATTCAAGCAGATTTATGCCTTCGAGGCGTTCCTCGCGCAATTGCCTCCGGATGCCAACAACCCCAATAACCCTGCTTCCGGACATACCGACCCTACGATGGCGCGACAAGCCTATTTGGAGCAACGACTAGAAGATGCTCGGACGGCGGGCGCACCTGTGGCCAATCTGAATGTCAGGGTGATTGATCACTGGCATCAGAACGGATGGTACACTCTTTTCAAAAGCAGGTAAGACGCGTTCGACGCGTTTCCCCAATTTGCTTCATGGGTCACAATCAACTTCCGATAGGTTCCGCGAAGACCCTCGTACAGGGCTTCCGGTACCATTCTATGGCCCGCGGAGCATGTCGTTCCCAGACGGTCCTCCCATACAAGAACTTGCATATGCGACTCCTGGAATTGATCCGCAGCTGACAAACGAAGATGCAAAGGGAGACGTCGATATAGATGATGATGTTGAGGACGCCGAGCAAGAAGGGGTGGGCGTCGTTCCCGATGCCACGGCGAGCGCATCCGGTGCAATCGTATTTTCTTCCCCATTGCAAACGCCCAACAACTCCGGCGATGCGTTCGGTGGGCCACCGGCGGCGCGTAGCAGACAAACATCTCTGGCCCGAAAGCATCTGGGGTCGACCTCGTTTGTTCCTGATCAATCCCACACGGTGGAAGCACTTGATCGACTGACCGTCGCTACGCAGACCCTCGTCGACCAGTGTACGACACTAACGCAGCTGCTCCGCGTCGCGACTGAGGATCAGAAGGTGCGGAAAACGGGCGGAGGGGGGGAGAGTGGGCTAAATCGGAAAGAAAAGGCGTCGCTGGCAATGGAGGCGTTGGCCAACGGAGATGTGGGGGAGGAGGTGCGGCGCGCAGCAGCAGACTATCTGAAGAGGCTGTTTGCGAGTGAATGAACATGTGATCCATCATGGACTTGTCTTGCTATGGAGAGTGGCGGATGCAGCCGCGCAGCTTATCTTGTGTTGATGCTTCCTTCTAATGGCATGTTGACAGTATTGCTTCTTCCAGGGGGGCTGCATCGGCGCTTCTGCTTCTTGGACGGTCCCTCATAAATAGAGCCCGTCCGGTCTCAGTCACAATGCCCTTTCTTTCCTCTTTTCTTTACGATGGCAGCCACGATGAGCTTTAGCGCGGATGGTCCAGCAAACTCGCCGTGCGGGGTACTGTCGCCCTCCAAAGGGTCTTCGCGCAGGTTCAGATCACGCAGCAACTTAGACTGGCGAGCTCGGCATAGACCCGCACTGGAGCTGCGCGTAAGAGTGACGGGTTACAGCCAATTCGCCGAGAAGGGTATCAAGGCAGCCAATGCGAATGGTGACAATTTTCTGGAGGTGCCGTGGAGAGGAACGGATGTCGTCGTGAGTAAGCGTTCGACTGACTTACGGATGTATTTTAACCACTGCCAGATGCATATCATGAAGCGCCTCGAAGATAAACTATGCATCCCTGTCATGTATTGGGTATGTTCTCATGATCCTGTCACTGTTCGCTGAAAGCAAAACGTACTGTGCTAGCGACTGGCCGCGGACGGCATTGTCTTCGATCCCATAACGCCTGTAGCCGTCCATCCATTCTTTGAGGCAAAGAAGATTGTTGGTGAGTCAAGCCCATGCTTCTATGTGCATACATGCATATATAGGCGTGGCTTTCGTCCCAGATCTTGTCCTCGTTCCAACTCACGTGGTCGAAGAGTATGTCACCCAACACCTTCCCTCAGGGACCCAACACCAGTGGAAAGCTTTGCCTTCGAGCTCTACAGCTTCATTTGACCTGCGCGAGCGTGCTACGGCGCTTTTTAATCTAATAAGGCCTCACGAATCAGCCTCTTGGGAAGCGTACATTCGGCAGCGCACACATGCTGATAGCATTTTACGCGCGACACTCGACAAGTATACGGGAATACCACTTCATCCTCTCCTTGTCCAGATTCACGACGGTGTCAAGTCAACACTTTCATCGACGTCTTTACGTCTTGATGAGCAGTCTGCTGTTGCAGATGGCGTCGTCCCCCTCTACTTCAACGTGGTAGAGTCCGACGATACGGTAGGTGGGGGTTCTGATGTGTTCGTACTCGACATTAACAATACATAGTAGAGACCGACTACATTGTTTAGTGAAGCTGAGGTGCTGACGCGAATTTACTCGCCCACGACATCTGCTGCAGTAGACGTGCATCTGAAGTACGTTGATGAAACGCCCAAGGACAGAACCGACTACAGCTTTCGCGTCATCTATCGCATTCACGCGCCGGTTATACGTACCGCCGTTGCTCAACACGAAACATACCCGGCGGTAGGGCAGAATGGATGGCTTCTGCTGTTTGAACTCGAGCTTGACGCCAAGAGCGTCCCCGAGAACAAGTGGGGCCCACGGCCTGCGGACGTCAAAAAGCTACATGAGAGTCTGCTCGGTCCGCCGCACGAAGAGCCTAATGCTCTCGTCAATGCGATGGACGTAGGGGACACCATGTTTTTGCTGCTGGCAGCGGTGGGCATGTCTGCTTCTATCCCCACAAGTAAAGAGGCCGTCAAGAATATCAGCCTCGCGAGTGAGACGGGCCTCTGGAAGGTTTGCGATTCTCATTGGCTAGGGAGGAGTATTCGCAGGGCATGTGGGAGTACTACACAAGACACACAGTAGCAAAATCTGCTGCATGGAATGCCATCTCACTGGGTCTTTAGGTACGCTTTGCTAGTTTATGGAGGCGCGACCCAATATAACTGATTGCGCCTTTCTGAGTAGGTTCGGCATAGTTTTCAAACCTGGGCATTACTAGTCTGGCAGGCATAGGGGATCATACAGGATTAGGCAGAATCAGATTGATAGCTCCATTTATCCACAGTTTGCATGCATACATGGGCAACACTATCTAAACTGTCACAGAGATGTATAGAGGTTGATTCGGAGAGTATAACGCGGTCCACGCATCTAGAAGCGCAATTAGTAATTATAGGAAGTGAACTGATTATGAGATAACGGGAGTTGTTCTGTGATCACCGCTTACGACTCCAGAATGATTTCCAACTGGTCTCAAGTCCAGCCGTATGGTCGCGGAGGCGATCCTGCAAGTATGGGAACGCCGGTATTGTAACCCCTCGGCCCTCCTTCCGTTCTCTCGCTTCCCACTCCTCATCGTCCAAATACTGGTCTATAGCACGCTGCTCCAAATTCCCCTCCCCGTTCGTTGCATCAGCAGAGCTACTAGCTTGACGTATCTTCAACTTCTCCAGTGCTCCTTCGTGAGTCGTCGTCTTCCCGCTCGTGTCGGGGTCGTCGTCGATAATGTCTGCGACGGCGACATATGCCTTCGCAACCTTCCAGTCTACCTCCTTCGTGAGCGTTTGTAACCGCACCTCTGCACGCTCGCGAGTGCGGCGCACTCGGTGCTCTGCATCTTCCTGTGCGGAGGGAGTGCTGCTGCTAGCGAGGTCTGCGCCTCGGGCAGAAGGCGGGAGCATAAGAAAAGTGCGGGTGTGTAGGATGTGTGGGGTCGTACGGAGTGTGCTCGGAGGGAGGTGATTGAGCTGGCAGAGGAGGCGCCCCTGAAGCAATTGTGGGTGACTTGGAGAGAGATAAAGGAGGGACTACTCACGTCGACGCTGAATTTAAGTGCAATTCCGAGCAGTGTATCGCTCGGTTTAATGTAGTACTTCTGTGGGCCCGAACTAGTAGGTGCCACCTCCATCTTCTTTATAGATGCACTCCGCGAAAGGTTGCCCTCGCCCTCCAGATTGTGGAGGACGTCATGTGGGGGGTTGGGCGTTGCACGCAGAGTGCCCAGATAGGGAGGCGGAGGTGTAGCAGGAAACGGGGAGTCCGGATCCGTACTGTGGTCCTCCTCGTCTAGCTCTCCTCCTTCCTCTGAGTCGTCGTCAAGAACGAGGACGTCGCCATCGCGCACAGCCCCATCAACATTCACAGGTCGCTGTGGACTGTGTCCCTCTGTTATGCTTCTTGTCTTACTGGATGACACTGAGCGAGCACCGACGGCGCCTACCCCACCGAGACAATGGAGACAGGGATTGTACCTTAGTAGGCGAGGGTTAGAGCGTATGCAGGCTGGACATACAGGCCGACTGCAACAAGGGGTGATGTGGATTTCGTTGTCGGGATCTTTGGCAGCGGCCAAGCCGGTCCTACAAGGAGGAAGCGAGGACGAACAGGCGAGGCAGAGACTCGTTGTGCGATCCATGGTAAGCAGAGGCTTGTCAGAATCGGGTCGAGCGGAGAGAAGACTTGGAGATTGCTGACAAATCGAGGCGGGGTCGTGACCGTCCTGCATATCCAATGACATCATGTGTCCGCTCGCAGCCACCGCCAACAGCAACCCTTGAAGTCAAATCAAGGTCAAGTTGAACGCTTCACCGCTGGACATCCTATCGCTCAACGACTTTGAATCATGCCGGACAACCACGTCGAATCGAATGTGCATCCTGATGCACCCATACACGAGGGAACTCATTCTAGCATTCCACACCCTCCACCCGAGGATCATCCACACAACCACCCAAACGTGAACAAGCCCGTACCTGACACAGGCTGGCGCGGCCAGCCTCAAATCCCGAGCAGAGACGGTGGCTCTTATGAAAAAGACTTCCTTCACAAACCTCCTTATGAGTGGGACAGTGACGGCGACCTGTTCAAGCCAAAATATAAGTCGTAAGCACATTACAGGTAAATGTCGCTGATATTGTACTTAATTATCATGAGCTCTTGATCAGACAGTGTTGGTGTGGCAACTTGGCATTCGAATTTCACGGGAACCCGCTGGATGCGAAACATTGTCACTGCAAGCAATGTCAGCGACTACATGGCGCACCTTTTCAGTGGGCTGTCATATTCCCTAAGGTCAGAACGCATACTCAAGTCAAATGGACTGCTGCTTACTGCAGATATCACCAATAGACTTCAGTCCGAATGGTTCAGAACAAAGACGACAGCTTGCACTTCTTCTCTACGGAAAAATTGATAGGCACGCATAGCGTTCCCTGCAAGGTCTCGTGCAATGTTTGCCGCTCACCTGTCTTTGACGAGGGACGCAACACCGTGCTGGCCTACCCCTCTTCGTTCCAGTTCTTAGACTACAAGATACCTCTCGACTTCCAACCCACCGCACACATCTTCTACAGTCAGCGGTATGTCCTACCTGGTTCCTTCGAATGGATCGGCGCTAACAGTCACACAGGGTGATGGAAGTACCAGATGGCGTTCCAAAGTGGGCGGGCCACAAAGGTGACAGTGAGCTATTGCAGGAGCTCACCGAGGAAGAAGGGTACGTTCTGTATAATCTTCCAGGAAGAAGGACTCAATGTTGCCTTGGGACAGCATCATGCCTAAATACAAGGGCAGAAACGCTGGTCCGATCTCAACTGGCAGGAACGACGTCTGAGGCGATATATCCACGGTGTTGCGTCGGAGGTGGAGTGTAGTGTCCGCAGGAAGTATGAGCAGCTAGTATATACACGCATCGTTTGGTTCAATGGCAATTGTCAATGGTCCGTCTTCGCCTCTTGAGATTTATTCGCGTAGGGTCACGTTCACGTGACGTACATAACGCAAATGATCTGTCACAGCTCGTTCTGCCATTTCTGGCGCTCTCTCGTTTCCACGGCTAGCGCTTATATCCTTACGGCTAACTGCTGCCGCCGGTGACTGCTTGGCTCCTCAATGCGTTGACAATGGCTCTTTGTTCTGTCCTTGCAACCCTCACTCGAGACCATACTTTCTTGCTTAGGCTTTGAATCTGTCTTGTTATGTTACGTAGATATCTCGTAACATTGGGAATCCGAGTTCTCCTGTCCAGCCCACTTTGTTGGGCTATCAGCGTGGCTGAAATTCAGGGCTCGTCGTTTCAGTCGCCTTGGGCTGGACAGACTGTTCAAGATGTAACGGGGATAGTTACCGCTAAGGTATGCTTTCTTCCTCTGCATCAGAGATAGATCGGTGCACATATTGTGCGTGCGGGGTTCGCAGGTATCAGGCTGAGGTTCGTGATGATCCAGCCTTCAGTGGTCCTCTGCTATGTTCCATCGTCTCTTGACCACTTTATCTTCCTGGAATATATTGCAACAGCATACTAATATTCTTATGGCTTTGCATCTCGCATATATCAGGATAAATATGGAGCATGGATACTTGGAGAGCGCTCCGACGATCTTCGCGTGTCGAGTGGCTTACGCATATATGGCTCCTCCGCTATCAAGTCTGTTTCTATTGGAGACGAGATCTCGGTGTCTGGGCGTATCACCGAGTATCGTCCCGCATACAGTACCAATGATCTTTTCCTCACTGAGCTCGACCTCCCACATGACGTCCGCATACTTTCTCGTGGCAACAAAGTGGAACCGCTCGTCCTTGGAAAAGACAGGATCCCACCCACAAGCAATCTATCTGTTGCCGACACGGGGCGAGACAGTTGGCTGTCAGTTCCAGGAAATGTGACACTGCTGGAGAGCGTGAATCCCATACTGCAGCCGGAGCTGTACGGTCTTGATTTCTGGGAAAGCTTAGAAGGAGAGATTGTCACCGTACCCGCACCTGTTGCTTTAAATTTCCCGGACAGATTTGGATCTGTGTGGGTGCATGGCGACTGGCCAGTGGAGGGGAGGAACTCGAGAGGCGGGCTAACTCTGACGTTCTCTGGTGGGTTGGACGATGAATAAAGATTACACATGAGTACTTTACTAATCAGTATGTTATGCAGGGGAAGACGGCACGCCCGAAGCTCATCCAGGAGCTATCCTCATAGGACACCCACTAGACAATACACGAAACCCACGGACATCAATGGGCACATTATTGAGCGATATTACAGGGATTGTTACGTATCAAGTACGTTTTCAACCATATGATTATGCCGGCTTTGAGACCAATGTACCTTGTGTTTTGCAGTATGGAAGCTACTACGTCCTCCCACTCACGGCACCAAGCATTCTCACTATTCCGGCTGAGAAAGTGTTTCCCTCGTCTCTGCTATCTAGCGGACGACCATGTGAGCTTACCATCGGTGATTATAATGTAACTGTATTTTGTATTTGTTTTCATCACATCGTCCCTTGACGTGATGTCTCTTCTGCAGGTTGAGAACATGGGCCCAAGGTCTCATCATATTGCTTCGGTGGCAGAACATATCGTCCATTACCTGAACTCGCCAGATATTGTCTTTGTACAAGAAATACAGGATGACTCGGGCGCTAAGAATGATGGTGTAGTGTCCGCAAACAAGACGCTCAGCGCGCTGACGACGGCTATTGCGAAGGCCAGCAAAGGCGATGCTCAGTATAGGTTTATCAATGTTGAGCCAGAAGATAATGTTGATGGTGGGAAACCGGGTGGCAATATCCGTGTCGCATACCTGTGAGTCTTCTGACTGTACAGTATGGCGCAGTCAATTAACCGTACTTCAAATGCTTCTCAAAATTCTGTAGATGGCGACCTGAGAGTGTTTCCCTGGTACCTGGATCACCGGTGGGCAATGCTACGCAGGGCACGGAAGTTATCATAGATGTGGAAGGCCAGATTCATCTCAGGTATGCATATCCATCCTGATATGCTTTATCTTGATTTCACTGGATGCTATTTCTTAGCTACAACCCTGGCCGCATAGACCCACTTAATGCCGCTTGGGAAGAAGCCCGTAAACCAATCGCAGCGGCATGGCAGACTACATCTGGAAACCGTTTCTACACTGTGAATGTCCATTTCAGCTCTAAGCGCTATAGCTCGTCCGTGGAGGGTGATGCGCGACCACCCATAAATGGGAAGAGCGCTCAGCGCTCGGCACAAGCGAATGTCACGGCTGTAAGTCTCGATTCGCGTCGGGTTGATAGAACGAAGGAGTGAATTGTTTATCAGAACTTTGTTCACTCTCTTCTTACTCGTGACCCTGATGCAAGCATTATAGTGGGTGGAGACATGAACGAATTTCTTCAGACGCGCTCCGTCTTTAGGCCTTTTGCAGGGTTGCTCACAGATATCAATAAAGTCGCTAATGTGCCCTCGGCCGAACGGTACACCTACGTATATGACCATCACGCGCAGGAGATCGACCATATTTTCGTGTCGAGTTCAGTTGCTGCTCGCGGAGCGGAAGTCGAACATGTACATGTGAATACGTGGGCCGCGAGTGCAGGTGCAAGGGCGAGTGACCACGATCCCAGTGTCGCAAAGGTTTGGGTGTGTGCACCTGAGCCTGGACTCGGACTTGAACAGGAGGTGGATGGTGCGTGTCCTGATAATGAAGAGTATTACGATGTGGCTGATCACTGTCTTGGACCCAGGTCCGGAATTTCCATCGTATATGTATGAATACGACGATAACGTGCAGGTCGTACTGTGAGGGCGTCGCTGTGCCGATGGATCCAGTGATACCATATGTGTATGAACTCTGACCCTAATGTATATTGATATCAGATGTTCCTGTTCATGTCTTTTATGTGTTTGACGTTGTGGGAAGAAGACACTGCATGGGATACATTGTGGGCTTGTCTATCAGTGCTGCTTCTGATTCACGTTCTATTTGCAGACCTACTATCCCCTACATATCGTTTATGTCTCGAATAGGTCAATGCAAGCCAATTAGCTGTTAGTGTCTTCCAGATGCGTTCGTGCTCTAGCATCGCACGGCATGGCAGATCAAGTTAGTGAACGGCGCGTGTTCAAATTTTAGTCCATTTCTCCAGAGCTCTGAATACTTATTGTCCTGGAGGCTACGTTATTGTTGCGAAGTGTCAGCGCGTCAAGGCCATGTGGCCAATGCGACAGTTGCACCAGTTCGTGTAATACTCAAGCGCAGCTGTCTTATGAACATTCGATTTCGGCATTTGTCTTTACCTCAGTGATTGATAGTTATTGACAGCGAGAGAGCGATATCGCAGGCACCTCCGACCTGTTGCGCTTTCAACTTCATCCAAAAACTCTCAGACCTCTCAGTCACACCTGCAACGGCGGCTATGGGGCACAAACCGACACGAAAGTTCACCTGAAGTCCTCGTTATGACTACAGCATATACAGCTCTGCATCGAGCTGGTTTGCCTGACCAACCAATTACGCCTCGACGTCAACTGGACAGAGACAAATACATTTGGCTCCACACTCGACGCAAGGCAGCGGTGTCGGTTGAATGGAAGATTTTGTCGAGCAAATGCTCGAAGGCTTGTCGCGTTCTCCCGCCGTGGGCCAACTGGCTCTAGCATGGGCCCCATCCAGCCACGTGGAGCTCCTAGAGCTCTGGCTGCTGAAAATTATCCATTTATCCACACGAATCATGACTAAATGACCATGATGTCAGATTGATATGGCTGATTCTGTACAGGCCACTACTAGTAAGTACCTGCTCTCTTTATCGTCATAGTATTCTAGTCACATATCACGTTCTGGCCATCATCTCTAGCTGGTTTAAAATGCTTTCATCGTGATTCGTGAACTAATGTGTTGCGTGAAGGATTCAGGCCGCCGATGCGAGTCCATTAACATTCACCACCTCCAAGAAGAAAATCAGGTAAGAGCCTTGGCCGGTGAGTGACTTATTAGGTACAGGTTCTATGTGTATCTTGTAATACCGACGCAGACTCCTGAACTAATGTTTTTCACGACATCACTCGCTCCCACTTTTGGCCAGCTTTTGTCTAACAAATTGAAGTTACGAGGAAGCCTGAGTCCATTGCGGCGCAGATTCTGATATAGATTGTCCCGGGACAAGCTTACCAGATCTTGATCGGGTCCTCACTTGGCTTCCAATTAGAGTAACCCCAGCCGACAAGCCAGGTGTGAATCGTAAGCCTTTTATCCCCTGGCGCAATTCTCGTCTCACTGGCCCTTTTAGACGCTGTATATAGCGTCAACGCAATATGGTGTGCTACAAGTCGCTGCAATTTATGACTAGTTAGTCACTTGGCTTCGGCGTTCCTGTAGAGGTGCCCGAAAAAGACGGTCAAGTGTCCCGAACCCCGAGATACTTTCGGTGCACGCTCACCGTTGGTTTGTCACGCCCAACTTACCAAATGGCATACGTTGGACTAGAACGAATTTGTCGCCGTATATTATCACGCATTGGCGGTGGCAATATACCATGGCCCTAAGATGCGCCTTCGGCCTCGGGAAAGAGCTTGGTAATGTCTTTTTTTCATCTCCACATAAACCGTGGCAGTGATAATGGGCTCGTCCGCTATTTGCAGATTTTATCTTCCAACGAGCTTTTTTGTATTATAGCTCGCCCCATGATTAAGCTAGGAAAATCCACTGTCACATCTGAAGAGAAGGCAGAGACGTACACTTCTGCAGAATCAGCGCCATTAGATACTGAAGTCAAGTCGTCCCATGAGGACGATGTTGCCGCGCCTTCAATATCGTCATCAAAGCCAGGTTTTGATATACCTAACGGGGGAGTGGTCGCTTGGTTGCAAGTCGCCGGGTCATTCTTTCTGATTTTTAACTCATGGTGCGCTCTACTCTTTGATTTCTCAAAAACATTTAATAAACGTTGCGCATCTAAAAAGGGGAATCGCGAATACCTACGGCGTATATCAAACCTTCTATGAAGAGAATATTCTATCTAGCATGGCGCCATCCGCTATTTCCTGGATAGGATCGATACAGGGTTTTCTTCTTCTCATGTTTGGCGTTCTTACTGGACCAATATTCGACATGGGATATTTTTACTCGCTGCTCGCGGCTGGGACATTCTTAATCGTCTTCGGGATGATGATGACAAGTCTATCCACGCAGTACTATCAAGTTCTACTTTCCCAAGGAATTTGCGTGGGTCTAGGTAGTGGCTGTCTGTTCGTCCCGAGCGTGGCCATTGTTGCGATGTATTTCAGCAAGCGACGAGCATTCGCGATCGGCATTGCTGCTAGCGGAAGCAGTATTGGTATATATTGTGCCCTGCTGAGCCTTGTATATGTGTACTGATGGGATAGCCCATAGGAGGTGTCATCTACCCAGCCATTTTTCACCAGCTGCAGCCTAAGGTCGGCTTTGGCTGGGCCACCCGTGTGATCGGGTTTGTCGCTCTCGGAACTCAGATTTTTGCCCTCGCCGTCATGCGGCGGCGCAGCGGGCCCACCGCCCCACGACAGATCATTGACAAGACTGCATGGCGGGAGGCCCCCTACGTCCTCTTCGCGCTTGCGACATTCTTTGCCTTCATGGGTCTCTACATCCCCTTTTTCAATATCAGCACATTCGCCGAGGGAAAAACTGGCGCGTCCGTCGAGCTAGCGTTCTACTCCGTCCCAATCATCAGCGCGGCATCGACATTTGGGCGCATTCTCCCTGGTCTCATTGCGGATCGCGTGGGCCCGCTGAACATGCTTGCACCATCCTCTGTGGCTTCAGCCATCCTCGTATTCTCGTGGGCGGCAGTGCACAACGTAGGTGGACTCGTCACGTTTGCATTGTTATATGGCCTCGCCTCGGGGGCAATTGTATCGCTGGCACCATCCGTTGTCGCAACTCTCACACCAGATCTCCGTCGCTTAGGCGGGCGGATTGGCATGCAGTTTAGCATTGCAGGTCTAGGATTGCTGATCGGAAACCCGATCGCGGGGGCCATCGAAAATGTGCAAGAACGAGAATACTTGGGGGCGCAGATGTTCTGCGGTGCTATTTTAATGGCATCTACTATAGCAACAATTGGAGCTCGAATCGCAAAGACGGGGCCTCGGTTGATGGTGAAAGCATAGTCATTAGTTGGTGTTGTGTCTGGGATTTCCAATTCAGAATTATGAGAATATCATTAGTAGTAGATAAATGCATAGGATAAGTCGCATATTGTAGTATTGAAAGTATGCAAATGTGTAGAGACCTAGTGACGAGATGAATTGGAGCAGATGAATCTTGGATGAGTGTCTTCAATGTACAAACTGAACAGGCTGATAGCGTGTGAAGGACACGCTCGAGTGTTTCTAATCAACCATTTCATAATACAACTCCATCTAATGGGTCGGTGGCGTAGTTGGTTATCGCATCTGTCTAACAAGTGTGCACAGAAGGTCCTCAGTTCGAACCTGGGCCGACTCAGTTTTTGTTCAGAAGAACAAGCATCTAGCAAAGACAAGCTTGTCATTTGCACTCATTACTTCACACCTCTGGCAACCGTTGTAAAATGGATTTGTGATATTACCTGATCCTAACTGGAAACTACTAAAGGCTCTGGCTGGCTGTGAGCCTCCCCGAATTACCTCCAAGGCGCGATCTCGCCTTTTAATTGTTGCTTGTTACTTCCATTATCGCGTAAAATCAACGATGCACTTACTTCTTCAAGTAAATCGCTGTCAACCACAAGAAGGGTCTCTACCTGCTGGTCGTTCCATGGGACGACGCTCCAGCGTGTCGGTATATTCTGCGCGAAGATACACACGTCTTCGGGAATATACCTCCCGAACTCCGTGTTAAAATCTTCGCGCAACACACGTTCCTCTGAGAAATTGTCGGTTCGAAGGTGATTTGGCAAAATACATCTCAATCAAAAACACATACCTTCGGTCATCGCGTTTAGTTGCGCAACCATGCCCCTAACAATATTCTCCGCAGTCTCCCTATACTGGCGCCGACGGTCCAACTCCAGGAGGAGCTTGCTGTAGGAGTACTGGTACGATGCGAATTGATGATGTAGCTCCTCGATCGGAATGAGATGTTGATGCAGCAACGTTAAATGTTCAATACTTTCGTTCTGCTAGAATAGCTGTTATTTAGTTCACCTGCGCGTATAGCGACGTACCTCAACGATTTGCTGCCGCTCAAGCATCTCAGCCATAATATCCCCGAGTTCATCCAACTCGTCGAGAGTACAGCGTAGTTGCCCTAATTGCTGCTGCGCTGTCTGCCTCGCACTTAGAAGCTGCTGGCTATGTCCAGACGAAACCTTAGCGTTAGTTGCATCACAGTCACAGCAGACGTACTGAGACGTCTCGACGATTACTATACTTTCCTCCAACTCTGTCACAACCGCAGGCAGCTCGTTCGTATCCCGATGCATCTCTAAATTGCGTATTGCAGACGAAACGAACCTTACTCAGCGAGGCAAGGGCATCGATAGGAGACACAAAACGCACGCTGAATATCTTCTTCACTAAACTCTTCCCCGGCCTCTCGCTCGTGTAGTGCAGTGAACATTTGATCATAATGTCCTGCAAGACTCTCTAGGAGGTTTGCCATCTTATGCGACGCGACTTCTTGAGCTACGAATACATCATTGACAGATGGCAGTGGTGCACCATCAGGAAGAGTGATCTCAATGTTGGATATAGTACCAGACAAGGACTCTGGATAGTCGGACGTTTTCGCCAGAATTGCCTAGTATTCCAAACATTTCAGTGGACAGTTCAGCTCCAGAATCAAACGGTCGCACATCCAAAGCATCTCTATCGCTCTCTATACGATCGAGGGCCTTCTCAATGTCGCGTTCATTGACGAAGTCGCGTAATGTCTTCCAGGAGCTACGGGCACTGTGTGTACCGTTTACCCTTGGCCGCGCAACTGATCGCAGGGTGTGCGTAGGGCTTTGGTCAGGCCGTTGTTCGCCGAAGAGTCCGGCACTATCCTCCTCGTCAGAATCGCGCTGATTACCGAATGGCGAGATGTCGGATGTAAGGGAGGCATGAAAGCTTGGAGGAACAACTTGCGCGCCAAGCGATTCCAGTATCGTGTCAAGAGCGTCTGTACGCTGCGAGCGTATCGCGTCCCATTCCTACCGACGGACGTGGCAAGCGGACTTGAATAGGGCTGAGCTCCTGCGGTCGCTAATGATGTACTCACTGCAACTTGAGCCTCGAATTGAGTGCGTTTCTGTTCAATGCTCTTCGCGACCTGCGCAGCCATCTCGCGAAAAGACAACCTGAGCTTGCCAAAGACATACTCTAGACCAAGCGGCACACACACCTTCAGCTGCTCAAGGACTGCGTCAGTGATCCATCTGACCTTGGCATCCAGGGCGAGTACGTCGACAGCAGTCTGCGAAGACGCGGACGAAAGAGCGCTGGCACGAGCACATAAGGCCTCACCGTGCTGCAAAGCTTTCTTCGATTGCAAGACAAGAGAAACAAGATGAGGCTGTCCCGGAGAAGAGCAGACCGGGGGCGATGTCGCCATGGAATGGAAACTCATAGTGACCCACGCAAGAGACACGAGATATAAAATCCGGACAAGTGATTCAAGCTTCAAGCCGCGAGACTGGCCTTTCCCGGGCCGTGGCATCTGTGCTTTCGGCCACTTTGAATTGAAGACGTCAACGCGGGCAAGTAGTCAGACGCCCTTGGCTGCGTATAATTAAGAACGATTCGACTGTCATGATTCTGGTACCCCGAGGTATATTCTGTATATATTACCCCCGGCATGGATAGCAGCAGTTCACGCCATACACTCCCTGCTCTGCCTACTTTGCTGTTGCAAAGTGTCTACCTCGCCACCCTCATCGCTCTACAGCTGCACCGGTCCACTCACTTTGTAGCTTTCCTGGTATACACAGATGCATGTTTTCTCATGATGGCCCTGCTGGCTACCGTGGCAAATCCGCGACGAAATCACATCATGGGCTACGTGCTTATGCAGCATTATTTCACTGCTTTTCACCTTCTCTGGCTGGCGGAGCCTTTGAAGGAGCTCCGCCATGAGCGAGACTTTGTACCAGTGGAAAAGCTTCCTTTCAGACGTAGAGTCTTATGAGTGTTGTGTGTGTGTGTGTGTGTGTGTGTGTGTTTTACAACGTACGCGGCGGCGTCGGATGTAACTATAAGGTTGGCTTCCCAATTCCAGTTCGTACACCTTGTATATCCACTGAGTCCATGTTAGATTGCAAATATCCCTCCTCGTTCGAGCACTCCTCGCTGGAAATTCCTATGCCAGCAGCTAACCAAGGCATGCTTATAGTATCTTCTTAACGACCTTGCCAAGGTCTGGTAGGTATCGAACTATCTTTCACCTTCGCGACAAGAGGGTCGGCGCTCTCAAATCAGAAAATTACCTTCAGCGTTGGCTTTTCACTATCGCAGTGTCTAGCTTGAGCTTTGCACCTCTCGGAATGATATACTCTATCGCTGCCGCCGTCGCTGTTGCTCTTTGTTGGTCGCTGCCCGGCGAATGGCCAGATGTATATGGTGCATGGGCGGACGCGTATACTATCCGGCGGTTTTGGGGGTAAGCATCCAACTTTCTCTGGTCCTCCGATGCTGAAGACTGTGATCGTTTATCATAGGCGGAAACACCACCAGATAGCACGCCGGGTATGCTGAGTGTGACATTTCTACAGGTCATATATGCTGACAAGCTTTCATTCGATAGTTTGCTGCCTCCTTTGGGAAGATGTTCTGTCGTCTCTTGAACCTTTCGTCTGGTTCGTGGGTGTCGTCGAACACACAGCTTTACGTAGGCTTCGTGGTATCTGGACTCCTGCACTGTGGTGGCGATTTCATGGTCAGCCGTTCGGACTTTGGAGCATCGTTTTCCTTCTTCATCGCACAAGCGGTAGCTTTCTCACTGGAGGATACCGTCATCGGTCTCTTTAAGAAGGTGGATATGAGACTCCTGAGGCGATCAGAGCACTGCTTGGGGTATGTGTGGGTTTTTGTGTGGCTCAGTTTTTCGGCGCCCTGGTATGTGGGCTGGGCGGTGAGAGCTGGAGCCATTGACGTGAAGAAGTTACCGTTCTCTCCCATCACGCTTCTGATGAAGTTTGTGAGAATTGACCTTTGATTGACCTTGTCGAATCTGTGAGATCTGTGACTGAATCTAAGAGGATAATGTTGTTCTTCTTACGGTACTTGACTATATATATGAGATGTACTGCATACATGCGCAAGAATACGATATTGAACCAGAAAGGCCATTGTTCGATTTCGGGAGTGTATTGGATTAGAGACCGCACAACGAAGGGTCTACTAGGAGCTATAGCGAGAGTCGGACAGGGTATACATTCGATCCTGTTGTACTTGCTTTGTTCCGTGCCCGTTGGCCCGCAGGTCAAACGTACATATATATACGAAGTCGCTCAGTGCCTCTCCCCCTTCTGCGAAGTTCTTCAAGCTGGCACATGGTTTTTTATTCCGCGTCGCGGGAGCGCTTCTCGCGCAAGACACGGAGTCCTTAGACTCGCCGTAACAGACGAGACATGAGTGACCCACACTGGCAAACGGATTTCAAAAATTAAAATGCGGCGCAACCCCCAAGACATGATGCCGGCTACTTCTCCTGACTAGTAGGAAAGGGCATACTGTACTTATCAACCCATGGCACGGGCGGCACATTAATCCCATGCGAACACATTACCAGCAACACTCACATACCCCTTGCACACAAGGTTCACACCATTATGAGCCCTCAGCAAATCCAGCTTATTCGCCGATCGTAAACTAAGTGTACTCAACAACGACATCATACCGAAAACATAGATACTACGCAGACCCCACTTAGTCGAGCATGTTGAGAAGAGCGCGAGCGAACAAGGCACGCTCAACCTTCTCACCGTCCTCGTGGTGGTGGTGGTGGCGGTGGTGCTCACCCTCCTCGCGGAACTTCTCGCCGTGGTGGTGGTGGCGGTGGTGCTTGCCCTCCGCCTCCTCGCCATGGTGGTGGTGGTGGTGGTGACGGTGGTGCTCGCCCTCCCCACCGAAGTTCTCGCCGTGGTGGTGGTGGTGGTGGCGGTGGTGCTCGCCCTCCTCGTGGAACTCCTCGCCCTGGTGGTGGTGACGGTGGTGACGGTGCTCACCGTGGTGGTGGTGGTGGTGGCGGCGAAGACCTTCCTCCTCGTGGTGGTAGTGCTTGCCCTCGTGGTGACGACCAACCTCCTCCTCATGGTGGTGGTAATCACCCTCGTCCCCGCGGCGGGAGAGCTCGTGCTCGTGGTGACGGTGCTCCTCGTGGCCGAAGTGCTCCTGTCGCTCATCCTCGTCGTGGTGACGGTGCCCCTCGTGGCCGAAGTGCTCCCGCTCCTCCTCCTCGTGGTGATGGTGGTGGTGGTGGCGGTGGTGCTCACCCTCGCGGAGGTGACGGCCCTCCTCCTCTTCCTCCTCCTCGTGGTGACGGTGCTCGCCATGGTGGTGGCGGTGATGACGGTGCTCACCGTGGTGGTGGTGGTGGTGGTGACGGTGCTTGCCTTCGTGCTCCAGTCCACTCTCCTCCTCATGGTGGTGGCGGTGCTCACCCTCCTCATACTCGCGGCGGGAGAGCTCATGCTCGTGCTCGTGTTCATGCTCGCGCTCGTGCTCGTGGTGCTTGTGCCCGTGGTGGTGGTGGTGGTGACGGTGGTGGCCCTCGTATTCGGAGTGCTCGTGGTGCTCAGGCCAACGGTGCTCCTCTTCGTCCTCATAACGGAAACGGTCAAGATCGTGGTGGCGATGCTCCTCTCCATGATGGTGGAAATGACCGTGGTGATGATGCGAATGGAATTCCTCGTCGCGATCTTCCCGGAAGCGACCTTCATCAAGACCATGCTCGCGCTGCTCTTCAGCGCGCGCTGCCAGCTCCCGCGCAACGAGAGACACACGGTACGGGGTGGGCGCGGCGCTGTCAAATAGCTTGAGTATTCTGCTGTCAGAAAAAACAAGTGTGATTAAATTCACCTGACGAAGACGGGAGCGGCAACAGCGGCGGCAACAGCGAGAACAGTAGTGGCACGCATTATGAATATCGTGAAGTGGTATAAAAAACGAAGTCGTGAAGAGTAGGATGAGCGAAAGAAAGTGGTCGTAACGAATAAGCTGTTAAAGAACGAAACAAGTCAAGCTAGAAAATAGTGTTAGATCGTCCGAATAACAACAGGAGGTATTCGAAGTACTCACTATCCAGTACCTGAACTTGGGAAGCTTGGCTCGAACAGATCAACTGAGGGGCTGAAGAAACATTGGTGCAGCAGGCTCAACTTTTATAGAGGACATCCGGCGCTCGAGAGGCCGTCGGCACGCTGTGACCTTCAGGCTGACACCCCACTGATCAAGAGTGATTATCAAAGTATCAGGATGTGAAACATGGGAGGAGCATTGCAAACTCCATTTTGTCCCATCGCCAAATTAAACACCAAGAGTGGTTTCGCACTCTTGGTGTTTAATTTGGCGATGGGACAAAATGGGGTTTGCAATGCTCCTCCCATGTTTCACATCCTGATACTTTGATAGTATCAGGATGTGATACATGGGAGGAGTACCACTTACTTAGCGAGTTGTAGATCCCTTTGTTGAGGTGATGCACAGAGTCGATGTTACACAGCATCACCCGCCAAAACGCGAGCATAAGTCTTCGACAACTCTGGATATGAATAGATATGCTCTGATAAAACAAATCCTTATTGAAGATCAAACTATATCACAATCACATACAAACATATCTACTTACTTATTCACCTTGCTTCATTTAATTTCTACTTTGTATTGCTTCCCTGCGTTCATTTATCCTCGTACAAAGCCGTCCATATGAGAAGAACTTGGGTCGATCAAATGTATTTGCACTTGGACACGATGAGTCACAGAGTTAAAAACTGAGTCGGCCCAGGTTCGAACTGAGGACCTTCTGTGATCATTTGTTAGACAGATGCGATAACCAACTACGCCACCGACCCGATTGTCAAGAGCCACGCTTGCGCAGAGCCTGCTCTTGTTTGTGCATGTTAGATTTCAAGGCTCTTGTCAAATACAGACAAACAGCAGTGCCCGCATCGGGGCTGCAGCCTGTAGCGCAGTGATACATTACCAGGCAGTGTCACTGAATTGGCTTTCATCATGTCCCTTCTTGCCCCAATTATTTGTGACAATGGTACAGGATACTCAAAAGTCGGGTGAGTTTGTTGTAATTCACTTTATACCTTGTTGTTGACTACTCAATCAGGTTCGCCGGCAACTCCGATCCTTCCTTGTAAGCTCATAGTCATTTGCAAGCGATCATATTAGCGAGCTGCTCGGCATAGTGTATTTCCAACAGCAATATCTACTCGCGGACCTGTACAACAGCCAACCCGCTCGGGGCCTGCTGTCCCCCCAAGACCAGGAAATCTCGCGTCCAAGCGCGGAGTGGAGGACCTCGATTTCTTCATCGGCGACGAGGCTCTAGCGAATGCGCAGACGCCTGGATATGGCGTGTATTATCCAATCAGACATGGGCAGATTGAGAATTGGGATCACATGGAGCGGTACTGGGAGCAAACCATCTTCAAGTACCTTCGTGCAGAGCCGGAGGACCACTATTTTCTGCTGGTTTGCTCTCCCTCGTCGCAATTGCTTGCTATTTACTCACTGTTATTTCATGCAGACCGAACCACCTCTCAATCCTCCGGAGAACCGCGAACAGACAGCCGAAATATTCTTCGAGTCATTCAACATTAAGGGGCTCTACATCGCCGTTCAGGCCGTCCTCGCGCTTGCCGCGTCCTGGTCTTCGAACCGTGTCACTGATCGCACTCTCACCGGCACGGTCATTGATTCGGGTGACGGTGTTACTCACGTTATTCCGTGTGCTGATGGCTATGTCATCGGTAGCGCAATCAAGCACATCCCCATTGCTGGCCGTGATATATCGCAATTTGTGCTAAATCTCATGCGTGAACGCGGAGATATGGCTTCTGTGCCACCAGAGGATCAGCTGAAGATTGCGGGTAAAGTGAAGGAGAACTTCAGTTACGTCTGCCAGGATATTGTGAAGGAATTCAGAAAGTACGACCAGGAACCATACAAGTACTTCGAGCGATATGAGGGCGAGCATACAGTAACAGGGCGGGTACGTGGGCTTGCTCTATTCTTCTCATGATCTACTAAATATCTGCTGGGATGTTCAGAAATATTCTGTAGATGTTGGCTACGAGCGATTCTTGGCTCCTGAGATATTCTTTAATCCTGAGATTTACTCCTCTGATTTCTTGACGCCTCTTCCTGAGGTTGTCGACAATGTCATTCAACAGTCTCCTATCGACGTCCGGCGTGGTCTCTACAAGGTCAGGTGTCGCCCGGTGGGTATGCCGCTAAATTAGCTTACATCTCAAATGGCATACAGAACATTGTGCTGTCGGGAGGTTCCACCATGTTCCAACACTTCGGCCAGCGTCTCAAGCGGGATTTGAAACAGCTTGTAGACCGCAGGCTCGATGCAAGCATGATGGCGAGCGGAAGTCAACTTCGCGTACGTTGTTATGTGCGCATCATCGTGTAAAGTGCTCACTTGCGATCGCAGTCGTCTGGTGTTGATGTTGATGTCATTTCGCACAAGCGTCAGCGGTGAGCCTCGACCTCCGAGCATTGTCTTTCGCTGTGCTTATGTTCAATTTCTACAGCTACGCCGTATGGTTCGGTGGTTCCCTCCTTGCTTCCTTGGTCAGCATATCTTCCATGTATAACATTGTCACCTGCGCTAACAAGATCGTCATTTTTTTGCAGCCGGAATTCTACAGTTCCTGCCACACAAAGGCGCAATACGATGAGATCGGGCCTAGCATTTGCCGGCGATACCAAATCTTTGGAAGCGCAACCTAGACGGAAGCTATTGATGGAACTGTGTACTCTCTTATTGTACAATCTGCATGAATCGATCGCAATGCAGCATGCTATTTTGTGATCAAACATACAGCTTGATGAAACATTGTATTTCTTACATTTCAGCTCTCAACTTGAACAGCTACACTGAAAGCCCAAGAACTTCCTATCGCCCAAACTGCAGTACCGTCTCTCTTCACGTGTTTCCGCATCCAGCGTTGATTCATCCCCCTCGAAGGCCTCCGCCCCCCATGCATCGAACGGATTGCAGGCCATCTGCAGGGGTTCTTCCATCAAGTCCAATACGCGAAGCGTACACGATAACATACCTGAAGGACCTTGTCCAGCAATCGTTTACCACTGTCAACGTCCTGCTCGACGTGTCTAATTACCTCTTCTAGCACCCACTGTCTCAGCACAAACCGGGGATTCGCTGTCTTCATCGAATGCTCCCGCTCCGCGAATGCCTCTTCGCCTTGCCCTAAGAGCCACTCCTCCCGCTCTTCCTCAATGCGTGCCGCATATCGCGTCAGCCATGCACCTAGATCCTTCGTCGCTTTCTCTCGGTTGATTATCTGCGGCTCACCACATAATTTGAGGACGCTCGAAATGAACGCGTCGCGGGCCCCATCCGGCGCGGAAGGCCGGAAGAACACGAGACGCCTGAACGTGCCGTGGAAGTCGAGTTTGTGCTCATACATCAGATCCAAGAGGGGTCGCGAGAGCTGGGCCTCGTCGCGCGAATCTAGACGACGCAGGCCCAGACGCTGCAATCATGAATGTACCCTGCACGTTGGCCATCGATCACGGATCCTGACCACAGGACGCACCTTGTGCATTAAGAGACCATACTCATCCGCGCAAGCCTGTTGAGCAACGCGTTCCATGTCGTCCTTGGTGAGTTCGATGCCTTTCTTCCGCCACTCGCTGAGCTTGTCTGGGGAGACATCATTCGTCCAGCCTTGGGAGACGGAGTGCCCCAGTTCTGCTTCGGCACCGATAAGGGGGGCGAGCGCGTTCACGAGAGCGCGTAGCGCGAAGACGCTGGATAGTCGGCGGCGCCATGAGCATGTGTACAGATGACAGTCGAGATAGCTTACACAGCATTAGGTTGGAACTAGTAATGAGGAAGGAAGATATGAGGGAAGAGTTTGGAAGGATAGACAGGATCCTCCGACCTTATATGAATACCGTCCCTCGTGATCATCATGGTTGCATATGCGGAAAGAGTCGAAGACGTCCATGAATGCGTACGGACCTGTCGAAGCAAACCATCGGCCAGAAAACAGCGACGCAGTGGCAAAAACGCACCATAATCGATCGTGAGTCCGAGTACTGAGACACTAGAAAAATCAGTCCCATGAGATAGAGAATGCAGCCCAGAGCGCATGGTGATCGCACTTGTCGGTATTTATCACGCCATGCATGAACCCGTATGCCTGCCACCCCGCTACCATTCTCCCATTCCGGCGTGCGACCTCAAGTACTAGCTCCTTGCCCCATGCCTCTCCGGGCTCATTCCCTGCGCCACCGGACCATCGTACCCCTTCCAGTCGTAACACATTCCGTCCGACAAATTCTCCCAGCACTCGCAGAGCGTCTAGGTGGGCATCCTGCTGCCCACCTCCAACAAACCTGATGTTGTCCGGCGGATTGAGGGCTTCGAATGAACCGATGCGAATGAACGAGGGCGCGAGACGCGTGAGAATGCACGCGGACTCGGTGCGTTCGCGATGTACAGGGATTGCAGGTAGCGAAACGAGCGTGAGGGCACGGGAGGTCGGGATGCCCAGCGCATGCATAGCTGTAAAAGCGAGATCATGGCTCAACACAAGGAATGGCCACGAGACCCAAGCAGAAGTCGCACCTTCAGAACAGAGGAACTCGCGTATGGAAGATCGTAGCACTGCAAGGCCGTCCGCAAAGCGAGAGAACGGTGTGCGTCCTGCGCCCTTGAGCTGCAACTCGTACACCAGCTCTGGCTTCTCGGGATGCGGCGTTGCCACTGCAGTCGCGCCAGCATCAGATGCGGACAGAGCAGGCACAAACAATCGGGACGACTCACAGATAGAAATTGCACGGCCATCCCCCAATTGCCCCGCCCACTGGCCAAACTGGTGCCCGCTATATCGCAGCGCCCACGGCGCCCAGTGCATCTCTGGGTCTCCCTCGGTATTCATGAGCACCGCCTGCCCGCTAACCACGTCCACCAGTTCCTCGCGCGCCGCAACATCTTCGTCCGACGCTGTAGTGGATACGGCATCGTCGCCGTACGCCTTGACCAGGGAAGGTGTCCCCAGGGTCGCGAGCGCGTCGCCCACACTCAAATGCGGGACGCAGTCCCGCAACGCACGCTCCGAGAGCGCGACGAGGACGCGGGGGGTATCTCTCTTCTCCGGATAGTACTTCCTCAGCGCGCCCGGAACGGCCGAGGGCGCCTTTGGCCGCTCGTGCTGGGGCTCGCGTTCCGCAAGCCACTTCTCGACATACGCAGCTTGATCGAGAATGGGTGCGCCGTCGGCGGGCGCGGCGATATGGAACGGGAACGGCAGCGGACAGGGTGCGACGTACGAGAAGTGGGCGTCGTCTGCGAGCAAGTGCGAGCGCCGCTGGACGCTGGGTCGTTCTGCGAGGAGGCTGCGAAAGTCCGCCGGAGAGGTCGCTTCCGGGTCGGGCGTGAGATTGCGCGTGAGGTGTTGGGACAGTGGGGGCAGCGGGAGGGCAGATATGGGGACGACGATGGACGACATCGTGGTGCGGATGAGACGGGCAGTAGGGATCATGAAACTCGCGAGCAGGGATTATGTATGCACATGGTCGACCGGGTTTGAGTACTGAGTACTCAGATCTGAGTGCGCGGAGCGGGCTGCTCCATGCGCGTAATCGTGGATGCACCTGACCCCCTCCCGCGATTGCGCAACACACAACAAAATCCGATTATCCCATAACAAGATCATTACATCCATTTATATCGATACAGACGGTAGTGCTAATAGTTCTATAGTCTTGCATCTTTAGGCATGCTTCTCATCGCCTGCCGCACGCCCAGGTCAGCCAACACATCCTCCGCTGAAGACAAGGCATATCAGCCCAACTCGACAGTCACAATACATGAACCACTCACCTCCGCCTAGCAATGCATCGAAAGGTACCGTTCGATGATACTGTCGCACCCCAAGATATGTCAGATGCAATCGAACAGCTTCACTGAGAAAGCAAGGCATACGTGTTCTATAAAGTGGCCCATGCCCGACTGTGTGATCCCTCGCCCACCAAAAATCTGCACCGCGTCTGTTGCCGTGTCCTGCGCCGTTCGTGTACAGTACATTTTGAGGAACGCGATTTGCCTGCCAAGCAATGAACTGTCAACACCACCATACTCGTGCACAGGAGGACAGGCTCACCCAGCCAGCCTATTCGATTGCTCTCTGTACGACTGCGGAACTCCGTGAGTACTCACAAGGAAAAGAGGCTTGCGTTCACATACCATGTTGCACATCTGATACGTCACGTTCTCGAGCCAATTCTGCCCACTCTCCACCCGTGCAATCATTGCTGCAAGCTTGGAACGCACGACTGCTTGCGAGTTCAATGGCTTCCCAAACGCCTTTCGTTGCGTCGTCCACTTCATACACTCCTCGACGACGGTACGCTGCCCTCGAGTGGAGGTACAGCACATCACCCATCGCTCGTGATTGAAATTACTAGAATACATGAGCAATACTCAATAGTGATCACGAAAGATGCAATCCATACCTGAGCATTACGAAGATTCCTCCGCCCTCTTCACCTAGCGTGTTCTCGACAGGTACCTTGACATTGTCAAGCGTCACGTACGCAGTACCAGCAGCGGGAGAGTAAGACGTCTTGATCGGCTTTGTCTCGAGCCCTTCTGATCGTGGAACAAGTATGACAGTGAACCCGTCTTCAGTCTTGCAACCAACCGTGAAGCTAATGAAAGTCAAAATTTGGACGACGCAGGTTCATCCTAGAGCTACTCACTAATCCGCCCAACTGTACACACGAAGAAAAACGTAAGCTAGACGCGAAAAAGTATCACATTGCGTGCTTACATTCCATTCGTGATCCATTTCTTCGTCCCATTGATGATCCAATACTTCCCGTCTTCCGTCTTTGTGGCTGTTGTCTGCAATCCGAACACGTCGCTTCCTGCATGTGCCTCCGATATCTAACCTTACACCGTTAGTTATCTGTCTGCACTGATCCCCCCCCCACCGAACCAAGACAAGACACATACCGCAAGACAAATGAATTTCTTCCCACTCAATACCTCGGGCACGACGCGCGCTTGAAGTTCAGGCGAACCAAAGTTAAGCACGGGAGGGAGACCAATGACACAACCTGAATTCATTCCGTCTCCATATCCCCTCGCTCCGCATCGAGTCAGCTCCTGTGAGATTATCATCTCATGAAAGTAGTCAAACTAACCGCAAGATTCAGTCACATGAATTCCGTTCACGATGAATCAGAGCTCACCTCTTCGGGCTTGACAACACCATTCATGAGCGTACGACCCTTCAAGTGTTTTCCGGGACCCATCCGCATTGCGTGTAACTCTACTTCACTACAAGAATGTTTAGTCCAAGAGGCTTCCTGAACGCAATTAACGCTTTGCGTACGCCATCTTATCAATGACGCTCTGCGAGGGGCGCTTTCCATCCAGCTCGCGGGCCTGCAGAACATATACGACGATTAATTGGCGACACTAATGTAGAATGTGTTCATGCGCACCTGGGCATCCGGATAGACATACTCGTCCATGAACTTGCGCACGGCCACTTGGAATCGTCTATGGCTCTACATAGCACCCATCATGAGCTTTAAGCTTAAATAGACGCTTCCCGAACTCGCCTCGGTGAAATAAGGACTATAATACCCGTCCACTAACCACGAGGGCTCTGCATACGGGACCTTGCTGATGGCACCGTCGTGTATCGTCGCGTGAATCTTGGGTTCCTGTCCTTGTATGATACCAACCTGCAACCGCTTATACTGGGGACGCTCGAGGACTTCGTGTCTATGCAAGCTGTAAAATACCTCCGTCGCATCCTGACCCGCTGGTGATGAGCAGCATCAGCTCCAAAGTGGACCACAACTTATTGTTTGAAGAACGCACGTATACCCTCGTCCATAAGCACAGACGCCCCTCCTGGGTGCATGTTCCGGAAGCGGGTGATGTCGTACACCTTTGAGTCCACGACGATCCACTGTAGGGCATACTCCGTAAGAAGATGCTCGGATCCGCACAATGATAACATGCGTACAAGGTTATCCTCGGTATTGTGCTTTGTGAATTAGAATAAGCTGAGATCAGCAGATCTCTTCTAACCTATTGCGACACACCTGCGCAACCTCCTCGAGAGTCAATACTCTAAGTTCCTTAGACGCCATTCTTCGTTTATGATTCGTGGTGATGGTGAATGCTCGGGATTCGATTCAGAACGCAGGGAATTGTATCTGGTGAGTATTTCAAGCTCACAGCAACAGTAGACTTGGGCAACTTTGAGCTGGCGAGGAGATGGGGAAAGAATGAAAGAGGAGACTGGCGGACGATGAGAGTGTACCTCCGATCGGCTCTAGCTTGTGATTGGGGGTGCGGTGCACGTGATATGGATATAGCGGAACGGCCAAAGTTATAACTGCATGTCTGAGATCCGCTGGAGATCCGCAATTGGCAGCTCTATCCCAACTCGATCCCAGCTGACAAGAAACATACATCCACATCCCGCAACAATACACGATCAATAACTGGGGAACAACAAAGACTACGAGGGTAGGCAATTAGGGTGTCTACTGGCTTCTATCACAAATCATAGAGCTTAATCCGTCCAATTACGTACATACCATTCATGCATTGTTCTTCCCCACACTGATACCCAAATCCCGGAGCTGCCCCTGCTCGATCTCGTACACCCATCCGTGCACCTGCAAATCCTTCCCCCGGGCCCATGCGCCGCGAACTGTTTCCGACTTGACGACGTTTTGCACCTGCGCACGGACATTCTCCACGACAAGCTGAGACACGTCGCAGCCGGTGTCCTTTGCGATCGCAGTGAGAGGCGCAAGCCAGCGCTCAAGGGGCGTGCTCGGGGGGCCGACGGAGGTAGCCGCGTGGGCGGCGGCATGGCAAGCGGCGGCGCCTCCGCATTGAGTGTGACCCACGACAATGACATGGGAGACGCCCAAATGGTCGATAGCGTAGGTGAGTACAGAGAGGATGTTGTCATCGGTGAGATTGACTTGGCTGCGCGCATATAATTAGATCCTGCAACACGATCGAAGATGCGAGGATATGACGGACTTTGCTATATTGCGGTGCACAAAGATGTCCCCGGGCTTGGATACCGACAAAACAGACTCGGGGACGCGAGAGTCGGCACAGCCGATCCAGAGGACCTAGAAAACGAAAAGAGATCGCAGGAAGAATAATTAGTCGTGGATTGAGTAAGAGGACGAATTGAAGGAGGAAACGGTGATTGAGACTTCGCCAAGCCCAGAAGGCAGCAGAAATACAAATACACGAGACCACTTGATTCGCTCGGTCGCTGTGGAGTTCGAGACCAAGCATTCATTGCCGACACTTATGACGAGGCGACGTACCTTCGGAGATTGGCCCTTGGCACACTCGGTGAAGAATCCGGGTTCTGTTTTCTCGACGTCCTCCGCCCACTGGGCGTTGTTGGCGAGCAGACGGGCGAGGATGCTGTCAATGGCCATGGTAGGGCTTGGTAGGGGGATGAGGGGTTGGCTGTGTGGTGGTGGGAGATTGAGAGGCGAGTAGATATATGCGTGGCGCAAAGGGATACGTTTTCAAATTGTCGTTCGAAACTTGTTGCGCTCAGGCTGTTGCAGCGACTGTTCTTGTCACATGATGCCAACTGCGGAGACTTGAGCGTCGGAGTCGCACACATCCCAGCGTGCTCGGGATTAGTGCGCTGTGACGATATCCAGCTGGTTCATATGACGCAGAGCACCCGCATATAAAAGAGCGAGTGCTGGCGGAGAAAGCGGGCCCGGACAGAAGCCACCAGCGGACTCGACGGCACAAAGAGGCTCTACTCCACTCCTGACGGACCGAGAATGCACATTATGTACAGCACCGTGTCCACGGCGAGTCGTCGCAGAGGGCGAGAGGTCTGCTGACAAGTCGATTTGTTTTGAATTTGACAGGGCTGTTCAACGGACCACGGTGCAGCGCGTGAGGCACCTAAGACCAGAGATCGCGCCGCTGCCGGGCTCAGGCCACTCGGGTCTTGGCAGTGCCAAGGTAGTTACCCTGCACATCGTCGTCGTTTACACTTCGCATTGACCAGGCAACCGTTGCTTTCGACTTTTGCCTATGCCAGTTGGCCGAAAGTTTTGCTGTCGTCAACAGCGGGCGTCGGTCTGCTCTCGTACCCAGACGTGTCGAGTGACCAATTTCGTCGCCATTGACCAACATCCCGAGGCGGTACCGACGCGTTTCGGATTTCGTGCACTGAGGGCGCATCCCGCTGATCAGATTTCCTGACAATATGGCCAATCAGGTACGCCTACCCGCACAATCGCACAGCCCGACAATCGACTGCACGACCCATATGCATCAAGAAACGTGACTCACAGCATCACTTCTCTCCGCCGCCGAGTCTCCGGAACAGCCCTCCGCCACGCTCATAAATACTACTACGCGCCCGTGCTTCTCGAGATACGTCTTTTGCCTTTCCGCTTCAATCATGCGCCTCGTGCTTTTGCTTTCTCTTTCATCCTTTTTTCTCGTCTCTACCAATGCTCTGCGCTTTCCTTTGACCCGACGTGCTCCTCCTCCGTCTCCCAGGTCCTCGACCGTCTCTGTCAACCAGAACTACTCGAGCAATTTCGGCTTTACAGATGACGATATGGTTGGGTACTCCGTGACTATCTATGTCCAAGGACAACCATTCCAGGTGTGTGGCGATGGTGGCGCACTTCTCATCCTTCTTTCTCGTTGCTCAGCAATGTTGCCCATTAGGTCCGCGTGGACACAGGCAGTGCTGATTTGTGGATTGATACGACGAACGTCACTCTGCCGGGCCTCACTGATACTGGCACTAATGCTACAATCAGTTATGTGTACGTCGCTCCCCACACGTCTGCTGTGACCCGGAGACCTTGACTCCAACCCTCTCAGTGATACCACCGAGGCGTCGGGTCCGATTACCCTTGCCAATGTAACTTTGGGAGACTTCACCGTGACTTCACAAGCACTCAGTACGTATCAGCCGACTTCATCCATGCCATTTGACTCATGCGCGTACGCTCAGTCAGCGCATATGTTGCCAATGCGTCTGATCTCGGGTTTTCTACCGGTTTGCTTGGCGTTGGCCCGTATGTCTGTCGATTTTCCTATTTGTACCGTCATAGTAATGGTCATTCTTCAAGACCTTTTGCGTCTCAAATTGTTGTTGAACTCGCGGGTACCTCGTTTCAGCGTAGCAGCGCCCCGTTCATGTCTAATGTTGGTGCAGCTTCAATGCGTTCTCTCTTTCTCGTCTGAAAATTCTTCCAGTTGTTCCACCAAAATCCGAACGATGTGCCCTTTGTAACGTTTTTGCTCTCCCGGTCGTTTGAGCTGATCTCTGAAGGGGGTGCTATGACAATCGGTGAGTGTTCCTAGCGACAGAGCCAATCTCTCAGCTAATTGCGATGATGTTTATAGGGGAACTTGTAGAGGGGTATACTGACGTTGTCGACCAGCCGAAGCTTCCTGTAATCTCCAACGCATCATGGCAAGTTTTCATGGACGGTGTCTATGTAAACGGAGAGCTTTTTACTGGTCATGGCGTGAGGTTGGTCTTGGACTTCCTTCAAACGCAGGGCACTAATGTGGTGTCGCTGGTGCATTAGCACTGGCTTGTCTAGTGCGTTTCAGCAGCCTAAAGCTGGCCAGACCACTATGATCTTGGACACAGGCTCGACCCTCGGTAAGCATCAGTGATCAATATCTTTGGGTAAATTAACTTATTACACACCAACAATGCCTAGGGTCGGCGCCTTCATACTACGTTGATGCGATGTATAAGAATGTACCTGGGGCCCAATGGAGCGATGAATGGATGACCTACCAGGTTTCATGCGATACAAAAATCAACATTAGTATGGCGCTTGGGTAAGTTTGTGTGTATTGCTATGGAAACCGTTGGCGCTGATTTTGCCTGAGCTTAGTGGTCAAGAGTATCCCATGAACCCTATTGACGCCACATGGATCAATGTCAACGATGATGGTAGCTTTGACTGTTTTGGCGCCTTCTCATACAGCGCCGCCGATGCGGATTCGGGTATGTCTCATCTATTGCCAAGACTCGGTCTATTCATGCGATTTGGCTTGTGAAGACTGGATTCTTGGCGATACCTTCATGCACAATGTTTATAGTGTTTTCTACTACGGCGGGAATTTCACCGGTACCGGAAACGCAGACTCATATTTGCAGGTTTTAAGCGTAAATTCCCGCCTGCCTGTACTTTTATCCCGTGAGCTAACTCGATCGACACAGATTACGAACAAAGACGAAGCATGGGCCGAATTTGACTGGCTTAACGTCCAGCGCATCGTACAGCAAGAGTTGGCTGCCTACATAGCCACGCCTACCTCTGAAGTCGCATCACAAACGGCCACATATGCTCTTACTTCTGTACCTTCGACATCAACGCCCCAGACGACGAGCACTGCCGCGACGAACAAGGATTCCGAAGCCCTCGCAGCAGACGTCGCGGGCACGCCCTCAGCATCCACGGCGCCGCTGTCGGACGACTGGAGTGAGCTTCTGCGCAACTCGTACATCATCATCGGACTCCTGGGTGCTGTGCTGCTGCTCTTGGTCGGTGTCTTGATCAAGCTCGTCTTATCGGCGAGGAACGGCCGGTATAAGCAAGTGCCCACGGTTGTCCCGCCCATGCACTTCGAAAAGCCATACGAGCCCGAGAGCGAGGCGTTCACAACCCCGTATGACGACCTTGCGCGGCCACTGCCATAAATTAAAACCCTGATTTATGATGCTCGAGATGCTATGGGTACTGGTCTGTGCTTAGCAAGTAGCTGGATTTTGCGATGATCTAAGTGTTGTATTTATCATTTGTGCTGTTGGTACTGCATACCATCCTTTAATTTCTACTGGGTGAGAATTTATTTACTGATCAGGACGTTTTGCGGCGACGGTGATAGTGTAGACTCGCAGGCCAGTCGGACATGGATTGCACTCGTTTGTCTTCGTCGAGGGCATCTGAAAAAAAAGAGTTCAAAGGTCAGAACGGCTGGGAATGAGCCTAGTGTATATAGTACTCTGTTCGAGAGCTTTGCAAATGTCATAAGCGACCAAGTTGCTGCAGGCGCGCGCCTTCTATATCTTTTGAGTATAAGTTGACGCCGTGCACGAGATCCTCATCATGCACAGGTTCCCGGGACTCGTAGTGACCGTTGGCAACTGCGCAATCTACAGTGTTGCCAGTTGTCCAGTGACGATTGGTAGCTAGACTTACGAATGCCTGCTCAACCGACTCTTACTCGCAGGTGAGAAAGCTGTAGTCTGGTCACTTTGATGAATATCCGGTGGTTCTTAAGCTAACTTGAAACCGTTGCATGATTTGCAGTCTTCGCCAACTCGCGGCCCCATC